TATATATATAGTCTAATGTTACAACTGATCCTGGATCCCTTTAAATTATGGGCAATTGTTCAATTTTCTGCTTTAAAGCCTAGTGTTTTATTATTAACACAATAACGTGATAAATAAACCTATTAGGATTTTCACGGTTCAGTTTTTAGGTTTACTGAATGAAGAAGACAATGAATCATTTTAAATTTCCACTTTAATTCACTCTTTTATTTTCATTTTTACTCATTAAATATGACTATTCTGAAAAATGTGACATGTTTTGAGTTTAGGTTTGTCTACTGCGGTATTAGTGTTTCAGTATCATTGCTCAAAATATTAAGAAAATAAAAGGTAGTTTATGCCCAAGTTTAGAGCATGAATCATCCTTTTGTGTAGTAGAATTACAAAGTTATCACTATTTTGGTCAAATCTTGAAAACGACATTATGTGTGATTTTGAGCGGTGTGTGTTTTCTCACAGGACGGTTAGTGGATGACTCTCTGCTACTACCACACCAAATGTTAGCGTAATATCTGTAAAACTGACTGAGCTTTAGACATGCTGAATCAAAAGTTTGTAAACTTAGTGATGTGTTTTCTTGCATTAGAAAGATTTTTAATGAAATTCTTCATATTTTTTCTTGTTTTCAGTGAGAGTACAATCGTCAAGCAAAGAGCAGGTTTCTACAGAGCGTCACAGTCGAACTCCGGTTCAAGGTTTAGGTCCTCAAATCCTAATTCACAACAAAACCATGAAGTACCGACCAACATGTCCAACAAACGAAAAGGAAATGTCATTCATGGTAATTATGAGCAGAACCTCTATCTTTTGTTGCTTTCCTTGTTTATAAGTTTATCATGGAATCAAAGTATGCCTTACTTTATTAAATTTAAGAAATTTCTTTTTTATTTATTCCAACAAACTTGAATCACAGAGTTGACCATAAATGGAACGAAACATGAAAAAGAAAAGCACTCGATGAGTTTCACTGAAGAGCTCAGGATCCCCTCGAAAGCTGACTGCATTCATTGAGGCTGAGCCACACGGCCTGAAGAACCGCTCATAAAGTGTCTTAAGGGAGTACGCCAGAAACCGGATCCAAGCTTTACAAAATCAAAGTGTCTCTCAAAGGAAGTCGAACCCAAAAACACCAGGAAAAAATAAACCAAAACAATTTTCTGTATAAAAACGTGTCAGTGGATCAAAATATTTTGTGGAACTTCTTTCCTTTTATTGTTTTTTTTTTCTCACTGCATTGAATTTTTGTCTATTTCTATAAAGCCAGAGTTCTTAAAATGTTAATACTGGTGCCTTTAAAACAAATTAAACAACAGCCTGAATGTCCTCCAACGGTTTACTAAAAGTTAAATGTGTTTTTTTACTAGATTGTTTACTGTAGTTTATTTATTTCATTGAAAGCTCTCAGAATAATTCATATAAATTACACATTAGCTTGATTGCAGCTAATTGGAGATAATGTGCAAACATTTATCTTAAGCATATAAAGATATTTTGGCTTGAGGAGTAAATGTAGTGAGATTTTTAAAAATCTCTTTAAAGTTGGATCTTTGTATTACCCCACCAAATAAACAGTTACTTTATTACAAAGTTATTGATACTTTCTAGAATCTAGTTTTAAACCCTGAAAAAAAAGTGTTTGTGTGTTTTATATAACTGGAGCAATGCCTGATGCAGAATACCTGTTTAAATGAAGGTGTATGTTTTTTTGGCTTAAAATTTTTCAGTAGCACAACATCCTAAAAACAGCTGGATTATACTGGTTGTTTTCCAAAGTTATGGCCCTCTACATGTAGAATCATCATGTTTTTATATTCTTTAATATTTGTCATTTTGAGCAAAGTTGATAATCATTTTATTTTTGTCGAGGCTGCTAATAAATACATAGAAATTGGGGTTTTTCAAATCATCCAAAATTTTAAGTTGGTATTTTCACGCTTCTTTGAAAAGTTATAGTAAATATGCTTTTATTTTGAAAAACGAAAACACGGAAATGAAAAGTCACGTTGGCATGTTATGCCTGTGTTGTTGTGAAGAAAAGGACTGCCTCAAATGCCCGTAGGTATGTTTTCACGGCTCATTCTACTGAACATTAAATGCATTTCATCTTTACAAGCTTGTTAATTTTGCAGCTGTTGTTGTTTTGAGGCGTTAACGTGAAAAACATAGAAATATCTCGCAGTTTTAGCTCATTAGCAGCTAAGAGCTGCAGCGGTTCCTGTTGTCTCAGACGAAAACATTTATTCTGATCAAAAGAAAGATTTTGTGTAGCGTTGCTTTTGATTAAAGAGTAACTTAGTCAACTATTGGCAGACCAAATCTGTTGAGACCAACCATGAAGAACACAATATTTTAAATTAAAAACACTAATAAATCACTGGGCCAAATAATTCCCTGCTGGTTTTTCACGATTTGCTCATCTTTTGTCTCTAACTTGTCTTGGTTTAATGGTTTAATTTAATTTGGAGAAACAGAGCAGAATACTACCT